CTACCACTACTATGAGCCAAAGGGCCCCGACGAGTGCACGACCTACATCCACAACGAGCGGAGCCGCAAGGGCAACCACCATCGCTTCATCACCGAGAAGCGGGTCTTCGCCAGCTGGGCCGGCCTCTACAACATCACCTTCTCCCACCCCGCCTGGCCCTAGGGGCTGCCCCCCGCAGCTGGGCAGACCCCCCCGGAACTGGGATGGATGGGGGTTCCCCTGCATCCCCTGGGGAGCGGGGAGCAGTGGGAGCCAGGCATCGGGGTGCCACTGGGTACCTCCCACGGGACCGCCACCGTTGTGCAGGGTGGCTCCTCGCACTTGGCATGTGTTGGGTCTTGAGGTTGTTGGGGGGGGGCAGGTGGTGAGTGCAGGGTTTGGGGTCCCCCCTCCATGGGTGGGAGGTGTGGGGGTGAGATCCTGCCCGATCCTGATCCAGGCACATTGCATCCCCTGCGAGCACACGAAGGGGTGCCGGGTCCCCTTGCCTCGGTTTGCGGCTGCATCACTTTTGGGGTGCACAGAGACTCTTCTGGGTGGGGGGACCCCCCTCTTGGGGCTCAGGCACCCTCTGCCATCCCCAGCACCCCAGTCCCGGTCCACAGGCATCCTTCCCTCAGCAGAACCCCACAGTTTTCAGTGGGACCCCATGGGGGTGACACTGCCACCCTCAGTGCCCCAGCACCCCAAAACCACCCGGCCCCTCCCAGCACCGCCGTGCCCCACACCCACACTGCCAAAACCTTTTCTAACCGAGCAATGGGTTTTTTGGGGGGCTGTTGGTTTTTTTCTCCCTGCTTCTGGTCCCAGGGTTTGTATTTGGGTTCCCCGACCGGAGCAGGGGGGGGCTGCTCGTTAGTGGTAACGAAGGGGCCGGCAGCAGCCTGTGGCTGGGTCCTCATCATTTATTAATTGCTTATAAACTATTTAGAAGTGGGCACGTAGCGGGGGGGGCCAGCAGTGCCCCTCAGCACCCTGCGGCGGGGGGAGGATTTTGTTACTAATTTCTCAGCAGCGGAGAAGCGGGTTTGGGGAAAATAGCTAAATACAGTGGGTTTGGGTGCTGAGCCCTGCCAGGGCTCCGTGCCTCAGTTTCCCTTTGGCTGTGGCCCGTCCCCGTTGCGGCTGGGGCTTTGGGGGACTTTGTGCCGGGGGAAGCCGCGGGGTTCCCGTGTTTTGTAATGGTTTGTACAGGAATAAATATTGCTGCAGTCTGTTGCCTTGGGCCCTGGCTCCGGGCTGGGATTTTGGGACTGGGCCGTGGGTGCCAGCGGTGCCGTTGCGGGGGGTCTCGGGCCCCCCAGCCCACAGCGGTGCTGGCCCTGGGCACTCAGGAGGGTGTGGGAAGGGGACCGGTGTGTCCAGGCGGGACCCGTGTCCGGCAGCTGGCTGACCCCGGCTGTGAGCCATCCCCGCGGTGCCTGGCCTGGAGCGGGGGGCAGCTGAGACCTCCCCAACTTGTGTCGGCCGTGGGGTGCAGCCCCGGAGGAGGAAAGGCAGGTACGGCCGCTGCACCCCCAGGGTGGCAGGGGGGGGGTGCCGGGGGGGGGCTGCCGGGGGCTGGGGGCAGGGATGGGGCTGGGGGCGGGGGGGGGGG